CAAAATTTGAGTATTTTTCTATGTTATGTTCATGTTTATGTTCATAAACTTTTTATTTAATAAAATATGTTTTCATAGTTTGTGTTGTCCCTTATTATCAATGCAAAATGGTCACTAACTAAAGAGGATTTATGCTGATATTGCCCAAAAACCCTATTTTGTTCAGGTGTTTCCAAACTTTTGGAGGGCAGTGTATATGTGGGCCTTCCTCAAACTGTTGCCACAAAGTTGGAAGAATATAATCGTATAGGTTCTCTTTGTTACCTGCAACAATATACAATTTCCCTACACTGGAACTAAGGGGCCAAACCCACACCTGTTCCAGCAACGCCCCTGTGCACAAAGTGAGGACCATAAAGACATAGTTTGCCAAGGTTGGAGTTGAAGAACTTAAGTGAACTGCACGGAGCCCAGACCTCAACTCCACTGAACACCCTTGGGAGGAATTGAAACACTGACTGCACACCAGGCATTCTCACTTGGCATCAAAGCTCAACCTCACTAATGCTCTTGTGGCTGAATGGGCAAAATCCCAAAGATACGCTCCAAAATCTACTGGAAAGCCTTCCCAGAAGAGTGGAGGTTATTATTACCAAATGGAATGGGATGTAGGGTCCATAAACATTTGGACATTTATACAGTTATTGTTATTTTAGCTATCTAGCACAGTATATTGAAGTTGAAATCAAATAATGAATATGAGCTCAAAGTACAGACCTTCAATTGTAATTTGAGATTATGTACGTCCAGATTGGGTGAACGGTGTATAAATTACACCACCTTTTTATATCTGGATCTACTTCTGCAAAGCTTCAGGCAAGGTGGGTAGGGAAGCTAGTGTTAATTATAAAGGTCAAATAAAGCAGAGAATTACACCAATATTCTAATGCCTCCACTAAGCTTCGGGCTATGCGGGTAGAGGATCTGCTCTGGATCCTCAGCAAAACTAATTATTGATTAGTACATACTAATTAACAACAATTATTCATTAATCATAATTAAGTAAATACTAATAAAACTATTATTATGATAATACGAAGCTAACTATAAATTAGCTTAGCAACAAATGGTATCGATGTTCAAACTGTTTGCATGCACAGGCTCTAACTCAATTTAACACCACCATCATTAATATTGATGTTTACAGTTGCAAAGTTGTTGTCACTCTGATATCAAAAAAGCCAACTACTATTCCTCATATGGGGCACCATAAAACTGTAGGGGAAATGGCTCTGTTTATACAGTAAGCACTGAAAATGCTAGGTACATAACAACAATATAGGTAAATTTAATTAATCAGTCTCAAAAAATGTCTCATTAAATCATTTACATTTATGGCAGACACCCTTATCCAGAGTGACTTGCCCAAGGGCCCAACAATGGCAGCTTGGCGGTGCTGGGATTTGAACTCTCAACCTTCCAATTAGAAGTCGGACATCTCAACCACTGAGCTACAGTGGAAAAATCAGTCTCATTAGTTAATCAGTCTCATACAATATCCCCCTTTTAGGTTTATAATTTTAATTAGAAATTAAAATGACTAGCCTTAGTCAAATAATAATAAGTCAAAATTATTAAAGCCTCAATTTTAGTTGAGAACAATAATAATCAATGACTTGGTTTTTAGTTCTGAATAGTTTGACTTCTTGCAATATCAAAGTAATAACCACAACAAGGCAATAAGATGTTCAATAATATGGCATTTATTGAAATACATAGAACAGAATTTAAAAACACCCAGTTAACTATTAACTCTGAACCTAATTCTAACTAGGGACAGATAAAGAAGCGTTGCGTGTGTGTGACAGAGAGGAAAAATAAACTATATTGCCAAAAGTATTGGGACACCCCTCCAAATCATTGAATTCAAGTGTTCCAATCACTTCTATGGCCACAGGTGTATAAAATCAAGCACCTAGGCATGCAGACTGCTTCTACAAACATTTGTGAAAGAATGGGTTGCTCTCAGGAGCTCAGTGAATTCAAGCGTGGTACCATGATAGGTTGCCACCTGTGCAATAAGTACATTTGTGAAATTTCCTCACTACTAAATATTCCACGGTCAACTTTTAGTGGTATTATAACAAAGTGGAAGCAATTGGGAACAACAGCAACTCAGCTACAAAGTGGTAGGCCACGTAAAATCACAGAGCGGGGTCAGCGCATGCTGAGGCACACAGTGCGCAGAAGTCGCCAACTTTCTGCAAAGTCAATAGCTACAGACCTCCAAACTTCTTGTGACCTTCAGATTAGCTCAAGAACAGTGCGTAGAGATCTGCATGGAATGGGTTTCCGTGGCCGAGCAGCTGCATCCAAGTGCAATGCAAAGCGTCAGATGCAGTGGTGTAAAGCACGCCGCCACTGGACACATTGGAGCATTGGAGACGTGTTCTCTGAAGTGACAAATCACGCTTCTCTGTCTGGCAATCCGATGGATGAGTCTGGGTTTGGCGGTTGCCAGGAGAACAGTATTTGCCTGACTGCATTGTGCCAAGTGTAAAGTTTGGTGGAGGGAGGATTATGGTGTGGGGTTGTTTTTCAGGGGTTTCAACCTTTAGTTCCAGTGAAAGGAACTCTTAATGCTTCAACATACCAAGACATTTTGGACAATTTCATGCTCCCAACTTTGTGGGAACAATTTGGGGATGGCCCTTTCCTGTTCCAACATGACTGTGCACCAGTGCACAAAGCAAGGTCCATAACGACATGGATGAGCGAATTTGGTGAAGGAACTTGACTGGCCTGCACAGAGTCCTGGCCTCAACCCAATAGAACACCTTTGGGATGAATTAGAGCGGAGACTGCGAGCCAGGCCTTCTCGTCCAAAATCAGTGCCTGACCTCACAAATGCGCTTCTAGAAGAATGGTCAAAAATTCCCATAAACACACTCCTAACCCTTGTGGAAAGCCTTCCCAGAAGAGTTGAAGCTGTTGTAGCTGCAAAGGGTGGGCCAACTCCATATTAAACCCTACGGATTAAGAATGGGATGTCATTAAAGTTCATGTGCATGTAAAGGCAGACATCCCAAAACTTTTGGCAATATAGTGTATATGTGCGTGTGAGACATTTCCCTTACCGTTAAAAGTGAAAGGAAACTTGCATGGATAATAAAACAAAGACTAAAACACGATGAGCGGTGCTACTGGGTAGCATTGGTTGATTTTACGCCATTAGGAGAGGTGAGCATTTCTCTCATTATGATCTCAGATGAGAGAAAAATAGGCCTCCTCTTTTCAGCCAGATCTCATGGCGATAAGAGAGAGAGTGAGCGGCTCTCATTTTATGGTTCCTCGCGGTTGCCCATTGGACCCAGAGGGAGTGAAAGGCTGGTGAAATCCTATTAATGGTTCACAGGGGTGATGTTTATTTGTCTTTCATACTTCCAGTTGCTGTAAAGTACTTTTAAAAAAAACACGCTCCTACCTGTGGATGCATGGTACCTACATGTGGCTGCAGACCCAGACTGGCCATCGGGAGCACCGGGAGGATTCCCGGTGGCCTGGCAACTGATTTGGCTTGCTGCCAGCAAGCTTTTTTTTTTTTTTTTTAATTTTTATTTATTTTATATTATTGCCCACACACTAAAGTGATCATTTCCGAATTCAGCATTCAAATAATTAACTAAATAATAATAAAAACATTAATCCATTCATGAATCTAAATATGTTAGTTTTGACTGGCAATGTTACGGTTCGATTTATGTCCTCTCCGCGCCTCCGCCAAAGCGTTTAAAGAGACATGCGAGGATGGAGAGAAGGCGGCCATGGTGGAGCAGAAAGGGAAAGGGCACGGAAAAAGAAAGCAGACAAATATTCACATTCTTTTATATACGTAGGAAGGGAGCAGGGAGACAAGAGCTATAGTGCAAACAGGAGCAAATCTAAAATGTTATAAAATGCAATAACATTTTATTATGATTTTTTTTTTAAATATGTTGTCATAATGTAGTCATTATTGCACTAATTTTGAAGTTTTAGAAAATTATGTCTGCCAGTTTGCGAGGTTTAAAACTTCTTTCCTTTTTTTTTTTTCAAATAAAGGTGGAGACAGTCAACCTAGCACTAGCTCTGGTGCAGTGATCACACATCAGATTCAGCCAGGGAGTGAGACAGGTAGGAGGAAAATAAGAAAAAAATATTTGTTTTAACATATTCGATGAAATTTATTGTTTTGCTAAATTTTGGGTATCTAAGTCATTTTAAAATTAATAAATAAGTAAATAAATACATATATACATATTTATTTAGATTCTGAACACTCTAATTACAATGAGGTGGTTGCTTTGCACCAAGGTGGAGACAGTTCTGTTTGTAACACTAGAGCAGAAGAAGTGACAGGTGAAGAAGTGACAGGTACAAGAAAAATACACACAATTTATATATATATATATATATATATATATATATATATATATATATATATATATATATATATATATATACACTGCCCTCCAAAAGTTTGGAAACGCCTGAACAAAATAGGGTTTTTGGGCAATATCAGCATAAATCCTCTTTAGTTAGTGACCATTTTGCATTGATAGTAAGGGAAAACACTAGGCATCCGAGCAGTCAGTTTATTCAAACATTGACTTGATATATTACTCCAAGCCTCCTGGAGGATTGCCCAAAGATGATTCACACTGGTTGGACACTTCTTACGGACATCACGGTCCAGTTCCTCCCATAGCAGCTCAATGGGGTTAAGGTCAGGTGATTGGGCAGGCCACTCCATGATAGACA